ATATATAATGTTGCCCATAAGTGTGTTTTATAACACCGATGTGTGGAAAACAAAACGAAAAGCTGTAAACTTCATTACCCATAATGCAGTGCACTTTAGAGCGAAGCTGATTGGCCAGCTACGAACGTCTGTTTACGTTCATCAGACATCCTAACAACAGTTGGATTATCGTGTTCATTCTCTCCCGTCATGTGGAGATGAACTTTTCTGAATGACTTTTAGAGCTTCTTGCATCTCTTTTTTTAGTAAAAACAAGTCACGCCGTTGATGTCAGAAGTAAGTGTTGCCCACATTTTGAATAGTTTGACGGTTTGCTTACACGACCATTAGCCGTACATGCTAGCCGAACGAGCCCATTGACATGATGTTGATGATGATGATGTAGTTGAAAAGTTTACTTTGGGCTTTTGTACGTTTGTGACCTCTCCTTACAGTTTAATTAGGCCTGGAATAAAAAACAACAACAACAACAACAACAACAACAACAACAACAACTAACAAATAAGCAAAACAAGGTCAATGCGATTTCGTTAGTGTGTGTTGTCTCCTTTTTGCCGAGCCAAGGCAGCTATTTATTATCTAATTTTGCTAACTTGTCGGAAACGGGTCTGTTAGGTTTACGCATTAGTTTCGTCTTTTTGATTATTCCACCTTTCATTGAGGAGAACTTTTCCTATTTTCTGTTTTGTAGAAGCGTTTTTCTTTGTTAGACAAATGTCGCCATCATGTGGTAGTACAATGGAACTACAACAACATTTTTGTTTATTATATAGTAAAGGTGCAGTTTTGTGTTTTATTTTAATGTGTAATGATAACTGCTCACTTTCTCTGTGCAGGAACACTTGTGAATGAAAGATGAACTTCTCTGAAGTCTTGAAGCAATCCAACCAGCTCTGTAAAGTTTCCCCAAATGGAAAGTATTTGGCAAGTATTTGAGTTATTGTTATAATTAGTGTAATGCAGCAGAAATCCCTCATTTGTATATATGCATGTTAGTGGCTTCACTTTTTCTGACTTTTTGTCGTTTAATGTTCTTCTCAGGCAACCTGCGTACAGTACCGGCTAGTGGTGCGAGATGTTAGCACCCTGCAAATCCTGCAGCTGTACACCTGTTTGGATCAGATATCCCACGTGGAGTGGTCCTCTGACTCTCTCTTTGTACTCTGTGCAATGTACAAGAGAGGCCTGGTACAGGTAGTTTACAAGACAAACTAGTTGTTAGAGTTATCATTTGATGTGATTGCAAACTGCTAGTTTCATCCTTTTATTTAATTCAATATTTTATTCCTGTAAGACTAGGATAGGAATTATTTATTTGAACACATGAATTGCACATATGATCACAAATAATAATAATAATAATAATAATAATAATAATAATAATAATAATAATAATAATAATAATAAAATGGGACCATCCTGACTATTGTTTTAAATAAAGCATATTACATCTACCACATAATGAGATGAGTAAATTATATTTTCTAACAGTAAAAGTAAAGTTCATTCAGATTATACAGTAAATTTTATTTTGAATATGTGTGACATGTACTTCTGACTTTTACTTTCAACACTTATCATTCTCTTCCTATTTTAGATTACTTAAAAGTATTAAAATGTTTATCAATTAAAAACAAAAGAGTATGTGATTTTTTTTAAAAACAACATTTTAAGTCCCAGACAGAACTTAGAATAATCTTTGTTATTCCCAAAGTATCCGATTTCCTGTTCTTTTCAACATTAGTGTCATGCTCATCATAGTGCAAGTGTCTTACCTTTGAGTGGGTATGTAGTGCCAGTCTTTCATGCTGTCTGATTCCTAAATGTCTCCTAAAATGTGAAAGAAAGTTTTGGAAATTGCAATTTGTGCACGAAAGAAGTCATCAGTAATTGCTGATCATTCTGTCCTCGCTTCGTCTTTATTTTTTTTCTTCTCCAGGTGTGGTCACTCGAACAGCCGGACTGGCACTGCAAGATTGACGAGGGCTCGGTCGGGCTCGTCGCCTCACGCTGGAGTCCAGACGGACGTCACATTCTCAACACCTCGGAGTTCCACGTAAGTGTGAAGGTGGTCTGTGCACATGTGCATGCATTGCTCATGGAAGTGTTTTTATGCGGATGCTTGTCTGGTTTCAACTGTTGCTGGCCCGTAAGGAAGGGAGACCTGAAAATAGCCAGACACCAGAGCCTTTCTTGACCGCATGTACRTCCCCCTCCTGCTGCATGTATTCAGTCTGATTTCATTCCTCCCCTCCTGTTAGGGTCCTGTCATACATGTGTCTCAAGTGCCTCTTAGACATGAGTGCAATGTGTATGTGCCTAGTTATTTTTCTTGGTACTAAGTCCTTTAAATGATGTTACATAGATAATAAACTCAACAAAATTGATTTAATCAACAAGCAGTAGAAACAAAAGATATACGTTTGGTTTTGGTGTAATAGCAGTTATCTAAATAACTCAGAACACGAATTGTTTTCATCAGCTTGACCTAACTGCTTGCAGAGAGCCATAAATCTCCTGTCACTAAGTGGTCTTGTTGATCATGACGCTTTTATTATGTGAAACCTTGATGTGTCTTTGTGCAGAGATAAAAACATGTTGGTAAGGAGAGAAATTTTCAACTTACATTTATTCTTTTATGAATTATAGCCAATTATTTTATTTTTGAACGGAACCTACATTTGTTAATTGTTTTTATGGGATAAATGGCATCATGTGTTGTTATGTCAAATAAATTTAAACATAACGTGACACAACACATATTTGGCATACTGATTCTCATAGCTATTTACACAAGTATTGGCATAAATAAAAATAAAAAAATGGGTGAAATATCGTACACAGACATCGGGGAAGACCCTGAATTAAATCTCAGCAGATGTAAAACAAAATAAATTCCAATAGTGTAAATATTGAACATAAAATTCATTTTCTGGAAAATAAATAGGAGTGTCATTTGAGAATTTTTTTTCAGTTCTATTTACATGACAAACATATTTACATATATGTAACCAGATATCTTCAATTCCAGTTCCCTAAATACCTGGAATTGGAGCTTTATATGTTTATCTCTGCCTGGAACATTATGTGATTGATTGAATGATTTAGCATTAAACTCTTCCCAGAGATGGAGACCAGCCCAACCTATAAGTCATGAACTGTTGATGTGGATTTGAATCTGCTTTTCTTATTTTTATTTTTTTTCTGTGTAATCAGGAATACAGTCTYGTGCTGCTCTTCTTTGTAGTTCAACTTCCAAAAACAGCTCAGTAAGGTCCAGAGGTGTTGAGTTCAGTTTATAGAAGTCTTCAAATCTCCGCTCAGACTAATAAAGACGCGTTTAGTTCTTTTCTGTGCCTCCCGACTTCTGTTTATATCGACTTCCTCGCAAGCATGTGTCGTAACGGGTGAGAGGCATAGTGGCTTCAGGTTGTGTGGAATATGACGGGGCACCGAGCGAGGCCACGTCTGTCGTGCTAAACCTGACTCCAGGACTTGTTTGACAGGTGCTGTGGAGCAACAACCAAGTGTGTCTGGTCTGGCAAAGGGTGCAGGGAGTCCAAGTGTCTATGTCACGATGTCTTTGTGTCTGTTTGCGTCGTCCAAGAAAAACAAAAAGGAACGAAACGGAAAAATGCCATTCCTTGCGCAGACATTTGGTCCACCTAGAACAACAAAGCTGAGGTCTTATGCAGTGATTGTGGATTTGCTTCCAGGCATTGTATAACTGAGCATGTGTGTGATTTGTGATCATAACTATCATGTCATTCCATGACTTCTTTGAGCAGCTTACTTTTATTAGCGTAGTGCTGTGACGGGTCAATCAACAGATAATTTTCTTATCTATTAAACTGTCACTTGTTGTTGAAGCATTGTCTTCAACAATATCTTCCTTTCAGCTTCTCATTTCCTAAGAGTTATGTCATAAAACATTGAAATTAACGCACTTTGGTCAAAAAATTCTGTCCAACAACACGTATAGTTTGTCACTGTGAATTTTAAACAGGGATTTTTTAAATCCAGGTTTTATATTATGTAAAATTATAAACAAAATTTAGTATGGTTGTTGTAGCTGATAAGAATGTTTTACGCAGAGCTTTTTGTTACATCTGATGTAAAGGTCTTTAAATTGCCCTTTTGTTGATCAAAAGCCACACAAAAAAGTATTTTAGAAAAAAAGATCTTTTTAGAGGCTACAATCAAGTGTCTCTAAATAGTTGACCAACACATGCTAACTTTATGCTTCCTGATTATGTTTATAGTAAAAATTGCAGTAATAAAAAAAACATAATTATATGAACATTGCCAAGAAGCAGACTGAACTTTTTTTCACCCCAACCCAAGATTTCATTAACGCCGGTGTTTGTGTCGAGCTTAAATTTCAGCCCCACTCATAAACAGCCTGCTATATGAACTTGTTTAGTGACAGCTGCCTGTGGTCTGCATCATGCCTTTGTGTAAGTGTTTGTCTGTCTATGTGCTGCTAAATCTGCTTAGCTGGCAGTGAGTTCATCTGTTTTTTCTTTTCTTCGTAATCGAAAGCAGAATATCTTACAATCTTTCCAATTTTAAGTAGTATATCTGTTTGGACAGCCATGATGGAGCTCTGTTACTTTTTAACAAGTTCAAAGTTCAAAAGTTTATCATCATGTGTTAAAGCACAGTGTGTGTTGAAAATCTTATTTGAACACCTCCTTCACTGAYTGAACTTATAACAGCAATAGAAAARAAAACAATAGAAGATWCAAGATAATAGATAGATTAGTCCTTTGATAAAGCGCTGAATTCGTTCAGGCCATTTACCATTTACTMAGTTCTGCTTGAAATATTATGACAGGCTTGATTTTAGCTACTTTGTTTTTGTAGAAGTTATAAAACCACTATTTCAGGATGGCGCCACTGCAAAAATTTACTAGAATGTCACAATGCTCAAACTCAAAATTCCAGTCATTTATACGAGGACCCCATGAAATGCCATTAACACGCTCATGTTATCCATGTTACCAAACAAAGGGGTGATAAAATGAGCTGAAAAACATCAGTAAAGGCCATTGCTGAGGTTGACTTCTTTAATGTTTTTTTTTTGTTGTGTTGTTTGCATCAAATTAGCAGTAGCAGTTTTGGCTGGGACAGCTTTGTTTACGTCTTGCATTGTTGGTAATACGCTACTGTAAACTGAATAGTGGGACAACGTGGGACAATAGCGCGTCCATTTTCTTTGTATGCTATGAGAGGTTCAAGTTCTTTGGGAAACTTATGTGATTGTAAAGAGAAACGGGTTTGAGATGAAGTGAAACAGGAAAAGTTGATCACTTAGCATTTTCTTATGAACATTATTAGACAGTGTGATTTTCTTGCCCTTCAAACCCAACACCCCCTGCTACAAGTTGTTGCTCAAGTATGTTTCATTGCAACTGCAGCTTCGCCAACCAAGGATCTAATTGCATACCACCCCCACACAGAAAAACATCTCCAACATATTTCCCTTACATCCCTTTTATTTCAGACAGTTTAAAGTTACACTCCCTTCTGGTCACGATGATCACCCTGCGTCCCCTATGTGATGGATTCAAAGCCTCTAGTGTGTGGGTGTTTGAGCAGTGTTGACCCTGGTCGTCATGGCAGATTGTCAGAGGGGAAGTCCAGAAAGTGTGCAGTGAGGTGTTATTAGAGGACCTACACAGCTGGGTGTCTTAACTGAACAGAGGGGTCAACGCTTTGGGCCAGTTAGGTGACAGACTTGGAACTGTTCGAATATCTGCGTGGACACGGTGATGAAAAGCTACTCGCGTTGCTAGTTCTAGCTCTGCACATTCTCAAAAAAAAAAAAAAAAAAAGGCAAGTCTCTTTTGAGTATCTGGTATAGTGAGTGCCATCTTGCTAATGATGAAGACATAATTGAGCTGCAACTCTGTGCAATAGAAAATGGTGCCTCACTTATTTTTTTATTTTTATAAATGAAACAATTAAACTTTATAATGAATCGTTGCCTAAACTGTAGCTGCTAGTTTTTTTTAATCATGCAGCTTTCTGARTGCTGTCATTAACACACATGGTTTCTTTGTTATGCAGACATGTGGTCAGATAGTTATTTTGTGCTGCTGCTGTGTTGTGTTTTGTCAGTCCACACACCACTTGCTGGCTAGCGCACAACTTGCTGTTAATTGGTCACACTTGTAGCAAACATGGCTTATATTACATCTTGGCTACACAACAGACTGATCTAAATCTTCTGCCGTGTGTCCAGATATTGTTTTAGATTTGTTAATTTAACAGGTTCTCAACCTTTACCTTACAGTAATAAACCACTTGGTGCTCCTGGGACTCTAGTGCAAGTTTTGTGGCTGATAACTCKCCACACATTTGACCATATCTTCATTAAGTGTGTGTCCCTTTTAGGCAATAATTTATTTGAAATGTCACCATTTGTCTAAAACACTTTGAATGCATGGTGGTTCATTTAAAGCTCAACTTTATCGGGATCTCTATTTCTGTCTTCATTAGTTATATTTAGCACTCGTTAAAACACATAATTACTTGGAAGATGAGATTTTTTTAAATTATTTATTTAATCAGGACAATGTGCAATTAAAACCTAAACATAAAACATTTGATGCATTGCACCAGATTTAGCCTAAGGCTAATTTACATCTGTAGACCCTTAAGACAATAAAAACAAATATCATTAACAAAACATTCGTTAAAACACATAATTACTTGTTATTTATTTATTTATTTATTTATTTATTTATTTATTTGATCAGGACAATGTGCAATTAAAACCATAAACATAAAACATTTGATGCATTGCACCAGATTTAGCCTAAGGCTAATTTACATCTGTAGACCCTTAAGACAATAAAAACAAATATCATTAACAAAACATTCAACTGTGATAAAAATAAGAAAAGAAAACAATTGCAATTAAGAAAAAACTAAAATAAAATAAATGTGATTGCAGTGCTGAGTAGATCTGACATATTCCCCATGATCATTTCGAAAACCAATAAAAGAACTGCAGATTTTTAAATTTCTACTTGGAAAAAAAAACATTTGATGTATTGCACCCAATTTAGCCTTAGGTTAATTTACATCTGTATTTCCACCAGACAATAAACAAAAGCCACCAATAGATAATAAAAACATCCAAAATAAAAAAAATACATTTAACAATTGTAATCATGCCCAGCTCCACCCCACCTGCCCCACCTACCAACACACATTATTAGATTTAAATTCTATAATCGATTACCTAGKATAACTTAGTGATTGCAAAATTGAGTAGATTTAAGAAATTTCCTAAGATTATTTTTAAAACTAATAAAAGAGCTGCAGGTTTTTACATGATCAGGAGCAGTGTTCCATTGAGCAAAGGCTTTAATCGAACATACAACCTGTTATAACATACAACTCAAACAAAGACGTCTGATAGCTAAGAGGGACTGATGTATTTGTCTTGGATTTTGACTTTTGTCACAGTTTTACTAATTTAATTTTTTTTCTCTGTTGCTGTGACAGTTGAGAGTTACCGTCTGGTCGTTGTGCACCAAAGCTGTGTCTTACATCAAGTATCCCAAAGCGTGTCAGAAGGGTGAGTATGAGAATGGTATTATGGGTATATGCAGAATGTAGAGCCGGAGTACCTGAGGACAGGGTCATCTGAGCGCCTTGAAATGCCTCGTTAATCACTTGCTGCTCTTTACCTTGTGGCACAGCTCAGGATCTGWAGCCGGACTATGGTCCTCTCTGCTGACAGCTGTGCCCCTCTTCAGTAAATGGGACATGCTTGTCATAACAGAGCTGTCAGCAACAAGTGGAAATATGATTGTCCCAGACTCTCCTCATTTTCCACGTGTAACCCTACGCTCCTGGGCTATGCGTTTATGTTCAGCACCGTCATATAAATGATTCAGCCATGATAGCTGCATGCCGCAGACTTTATGGTGCCAAAGAATCAGATAATTACTTTAAATGAAATATACAAAACACTACGAGGTAATGGATTTTACTACCAGCAGAGACAGTTGGTGTTTTCCACTGAATATATATAAAAAAAAAATTAATTAATTAAATTCTACAACTGAACCTCATGAGAAAAATCTACATTTAGGTGCCTAATTAAAATAAAAACTGATTAATAAAATAATGCAGTCACTGTGAGCAGTTACAGAACCATAAACCAATAAACACATTTAATTTTTCTGATATTTGCACCTGTTATATTGTCTTTATAAGAGCTTTACTAAACTTGTGATTGCGTGCCATGGATCAAAGCGATCAGATTTATTGATTCGATCATCTTGCTGTATCTCATGACACAGTTTTGAACGATAACAAAGTTTTAAAATAATTTTATTACCAGTGTGACAGCTACCCTTGTGTTAATTTCAACTTGTGACCTGTGGATTCCAGGAAAGGGAGTGTGTCTAGCTGTGTGACACAGCAGCTGGAACTGATTGTTACTATTTAAAAGTTGTTGTTTTTTTTTTTTCTTAAGTAATGGTGTGTGCAATACTTATGAGTTGTAAGTGTCTTTACATTATAGAGCCATGGAAGGCAATCCCAGAACAATACAGAAAGTGAAATTAGGTGATTACAGCGTGAAACCAGCATGCTTTTCTCAGAAAAAGAAAATGTCTACAGAGAAAGATCTGTTAGTTAGACAGATAAACTCATGGTGGATACTGAGCAATATAATGGAATGTGTACTTGTTACAAATAACAACACTGTTGTTGTTTGGTTCAGAAAAAAAACTATGAAAAGAAAATTGTCAGAAGTTTTAAACGTGAGTCATGTCACAAAGCAGATTAGCCAGTCAGGAAACCATTTTCAGCACAGACCAGATTGTTTAATTTGCTAAAAGCTCAAAGTCAAAATCTGAAATGAGAACCTGCCTTGTTTTAATTTGAAATTGTGTTTCATACACAGGTATAGACTTCAGCAGAGATGGGTGYTATATGGCCTTGGCTGAACGTCGTGACTGTAAAGACTATATTAGTATATTTGTGTGTGATGACTGGCATTTACTCAGGGTAAGTTTTCTGTTTTTCTTTTTCTCTCTTTTTTGTATTTTAAGGACTAAATCTTTAAGACAGATAGACAAATGCAAAAAAATATATACAATAATTAAAATTAAAATTACAACATGTCTTAGACTGGTTTCTTAAATGGATTTGGATGTGTAGGAAAGCAGTTCTGTGGCCTTAATACCTGCAAGAGTTAATATTAATTTGGGCAATCAAAGAAAAGTTCTCATTAAGGAGTCAGACTGTCATCTGAAACAATCCAAACCTCAAACATTTTAAGCAAATGTTTATTTAAAAACTTTTTTTATTTTATGCTGTCACTATTACATCTGGTGATTTATTTATTTGTTTTGGACTTAAACATATTTTAACTATTTCACAGCATTTTGAGACTGAAACACAGGACCTGGCAGGACTGGAGTGGTCTCCTAACGGCTGTGTGCTGGCAGCGTGGGACAGCTGTCTAGAGGTTAGCCAACAACAATGATTAAACAAGTGAAGACAGAATCAGTTTCTTTAGACTTAGATGAATAGGAACTTTGCTCTAGTGATTCACACTCACGCCATTCTCACACATAAACACCAAAAATCTGTTTTTAGTCGTCTGAATGACAGATGAGGTTTACTTATGATGGTTGGACTTCGCAGTATCCAAAAATAAAGAGTAGTGTAAGTAGTATTCATCATACATGTCAGCAGAATGTACAATATAAAACAGCAAGCTTTAAAACAGCTTAACTATAATATMGAGGGTTACACCATTAGTTTAATTTTAGAGGCTTAATTTATTATTATAAATAATACATATGTATGTATATTAGCAAAAACACAAGATAAACAATAACTTAATGATCAGCTCAGGTAAAAAGGTCCAAGTTCCAAAATCGCAGCTGTTTGAGAAGAAACAAAATCAATATGCTGGTTAAAGAGTAAAGGGCTCAACTGTGGATGAAAAAAAAATGTTCTTGTTCTCTTTCAAATTCTGAGAGTTTTGTGATATCAGCATTAACCTTTAAAGATGCACTCAAAACAAATATTTTAGCACCAGAGTATTGTTGATAAGTGTGTCTCTTCTCCACAGTACAAGGTTTTGCTGTATTCTTTGGATGGCCGCTTGTTGTCAACCTACAGTGCCTATGAGTGGTCTCTGGGTGTAAAGTCTGTGTCCTGGAGCCCCAGCAGCCAGTTCCTGGCTATTGGCAGCTATGATGAGAAAGTATTAATGCTCTTATAAGATTTGTTAGTTTTCTGTCTCGCTAGAAAATTCTGAGCACCAGTTTTTAGAATAACGCAAAACTAAATGACAGATTTTCATATCTTTATGTCAGGTGCGTATTCTTAACCACATCACATGGARGAAAATTGTCCAGTTCGAACACCCTGCAGTCATTGACAACACGAAAGCTGTGAGTTTCATCGTGATGACCCTCAAATGTATTGTAACTGTTSAAAGTGTAATAACTGTTTGCTGTGTAGACCGTGTATAAGGAAGTTGAAAGAAGGCYGGCTGTGCCCAGTGATGAACTGTCGCTTCACAACATTACAGTGGGCTCTACTSTTTTCAACACGCAGAGCAAATGTAAGCCAGCAGTTTTGGTTTTGAACTCTGTATTTACTTGACTTATTGTAAGACAAGTAACCTTGTTTTTCTGYTGCTGAACTTCATTAGATGAGATCGGTGCTCTGCCTGTTCAAATTCCTGTGGTTAAACCAGAACCAGACAGAGCGAATCCCAAGATAGGTGTCTCTGTTTTAGCATTCAGCTCAGACAGTCACTATCTAGCTACCAAAAATGGTAAGTATTAATATTTTCTCTTTTTTTCCCCTTCATGCTGGATCTTCAAACCTTTATTAATTATATTGTAAACATCTTTAGTTGTTGACCTATTTTTATGGCCATGTTAAGATTTCACAACAGTTTTAGAACTGAGAGTGGATGTAMATGTGCATTTCTGTTCCTGCAGACAACATGGCCACTGCTGTGTGGGTGTGGGACATGCAGAAGATGAGCCTGGAGGCTGTGCTGGAGCAGACATCAGCCGTACGCTGCTTTCAGTGGGACCCCCGACGCCCCCGGCTGGCTCTGTGTACGGGCAACAGCAAACTCTACCTCTGGTCCCCAGGAGGATGTGTTTCTGTTCAAGTCCCARCTGAAGGTAGCACATTTGAGTGATGATGTTCTAAATAATTAAGAGTTGTTAGTTTTTGTTGCTTCAAGAAAAAAAAAAAAGAATCCTGGGCAGATCAAATGTGCTGCTGCTTGTGCCTGATATCCTAACATTATCTATTAAGCTGTTTTAATGCTCAKGTCTATAGACTGTATTCACATGTGCTTATGCACTTTCTGTTAWTGCCATTTGTTACACATACAGAATAATTGCTTCATCACAGTTCTCCTTTCCTCTCTCACCAGGTGGCTTTCAGGTCCAGTCTCTGATGTGGCACAGCAGTGGAGACTCTCTGATCCTGCTTGGAAAGGAGCAGCTTTGTTTGTGCTACATGGACACTGATCAGGAAGAAACATGAAATACACAACGCTTGTTCTAAGAGGCTCTTGGTCATAGTTCAGGTTTATGAAGGCTTACATTTGTGCTTAGATGAAGACTAATGAAAACACTCCTGAAAATCTCTTACGCTGGAATCTCCTACTCACCAAGCGTTTAAACCCTCCAGAGCAAGTTTACTTGGATGCTTTTTTCATCTCAATAAGTAGAAAACTCRACATGGCATTCTTAGTAATAAATATTTTGTTAAATAAGATACTGAAGCACTAGTTGCAGACAGATTAGATTTTCAAAATGTGTAATGTTATTGTAGTTTGTCTGACTATATATATTTTTATGAAATTGCGCAATTATGAATAAAGTTGTTTCATAAATAATCATTCTTAAGCAGTTAGTGTTATCTTATTTCAATTAAATGAAAACTCTGCATTTCGTGTAGTAAAACCAGCAGCTAGTCCACAAAGACATGAGACTTTAAAAAGTCAAGTAGGCATTTATTGTTTTTTCCATTGAGGCTGCTGTGCTGTAAAAATTAAAAGCAGAAATTAAGTCTTTAAACATTTCTAAACACTCCAGATTTGGCAGTTAAATCATTTTTGGATAAGCTTTTGTGCATTCATTTAATCAAAGTAAGTGCAGATAAATAATCACTATTTACAACTTTACTCAAGAAAAAAAAAACATCTGTCATGCAAACTCATGCTAGGAACATGCAAATGTTCAAAAAAACAAACAAAACTTGTGCTGTGGGACCTTTTTTGTTGCATGGCATCAAGCTCAGTAACTTTTGTTTGCACAGTAATATTCACTGCCTGACACTCATGTGAAATGTAAAACCATTTAGTTCTGTAGAGTTGCATAAATTTTTCACCATGATCTTGTGGCGTTTCAGACCATTTATAAAATCAAGTAAATCTTCAAACAAAAAGACAATTTTTACAAAGCAACACTAAAAAGAAAAACAATTTTTTTCTTGAGCCACATCTCATTTATTTCTTCTGCTTACTGTGAGCCAGCCTTTCCTCTAAAGTCATTAGCATTTAGTGTTCAGGCTTTGTTAAAGTCTTGCAAAGTTTTTCTTCAGATATTGTCCACTTTTTTTTTCTTCCTTAATTTCAACTTCACCATAATAAACACCCTGACCCTGCAGATCTTTCAGGTTTTGGCTAGCTTTGTGTCAACACAACTCAGACAACTAAGCAAAGAACCTATTTTAACCCACATTGCATATTTAGACACTTTTTACTTGTTAGATGAATAAAATTATTAGACCAACTAATGCATCTTTTARTTTGTCAGGTCCTTACTGGATTTTTTTTAACAGGAACATCATTTTCAAGCAATATTCTGTGAAATAACATTTTAATGCCTACCACTTCATTCGTCGTTCACTTTCCAAGTTTGTAATATTTTTTTCAAAACRCACAACACTGTCATTGTTAGATCTTTGAAAATCACTTTGTTTTCTTTGAGTCTGTAAAATTATCTTTAGCTTTTCTTCCTTGCAGTGAACCAAAAGCTTTAAGAATAAATCCKGTGTCTTTGCAATAACATACATGTCAACTTGTACGGAGTGTCCGTAAATTATAAAGRTTTTACGTCATTTTGCAGGTAAACGGGCGTATAGAGCAATTGCACTGATTTTTTCAAAACTTCATTTTCAAATTTATCTTGGCATCTAAGAGCCTGTAGGATTATTTAAAAAACAATAACATCAAACAGCTATCTTCCAACCTGTTCTGCCGCTAGAAATATGTTTTGAACTTTTTCAGCTCTCCTTTCATGTCCGCAGCCGGCAGACACCCCCCCCCCCCTGCAGGTGCGAATTGTACAGATTTTTTGCAAAATTTAAGGATTTTTGAGGCTCTTTATACAGGTAAACGTCCAAAGAGGTTGACATGTATGCAACAAGCTAGTAACAAAGTACTTAAAATACTTTATAATACTTTGTAATGTATGCCAACACACGCAGGGTTAAGTTTCAGAACATTTTCGTGCTTGATTGATTCTTACATCAGTGTTAAGAGACTAGACTGAGATGARTCATAAAGCAGCCAATGTGTAGAAAAAGTGAAGAGAAAAGTTACTCTACACGTCATTTAAAGATTACAAAAATGTCACTGGAAGCCAAGTATGCAGAAATGATAGGGTGACTCAAGACTTTTGCACAGGACCGTCAACAGCTAATGYAGCTCCCTATTACAAGCAAGACTATGAGCAAGGTCAACAAACAATAAGCTGAATGTGTAACTTATTTAGTCCCACTGAAGTTGAACATTGTGTATCCTCTGTACTCATGATCACTTCTGTTATTTCACTGCAGCAGACCAGCAGTGGAATAATTCAATCATTTATTCCAAACWATTTTAAGCAGGAACTGGGAAGCATAATTTTATATGGCTTTTTTCTGGCTGAGCTTTTTTTCCCACCAAACATCACACAAGTTTTGACAATCTAAAGTTAGTTTATCTCCAGCTTATTCTGCAATATTCTTTATATGTTGTCGTGTTTGGCAGATCTGTTTGCAGCTCTCTGACGGAAAGCAACTGAAGACACAACGAGACAAATGAGTCAACAGTCCACACAGTGCTGCCCACCTTTAACCTCCTGCAGGCTGATCACCTGTCAGTGACGCCAACTTCAGGAGGTGTGGACATGCCTGGTGTTGACGCACAAACAGACATGACGCACCTTACACTGTAGTTTATCCTTTAAACGGCATAGCTGTGTTACATGAGCTTATCCCTGCAGGAAAACATAATTCAGAAGCCGATTTTGCCACGCGTCATGGAGTAGCCCAGCTTCGCTTCGTTGTTGATGAAGGACATAATTCCCAGATAGGTCTCGATGAGCAGGGGTCTCTCCAGGATCAGGACACCGTTAGCACGACCGGGGATGGGGTGCTCCTTGTGAGCTTTCTTCACTGCCTGCACCAGCTGGGTTCTGAAGTTGTCCAACTTAGGCAGAAGGAAGAAACAAAACAAAAAAAAAAAACCATTGTAAATAATTGTAACAAACAGATCAAAGATGTAGCAGAAAAAGGAGGCAAATCCACTTATTGTATGAAATTAACAGGTCTGAAAGGATATTTCCAATAATTGCCCATAGTAATTTTGAGGACAAAAAAAAAAGCATTCTGAGCCAGGCTATTTGAGCACAAACTCATAAATTAAAATTGCATGAATAACTRTCTTTGTTTCAGAGGATGACGTACCATTAAAGCAGCAATCACTCCATTGTTTCCATTTGGCTTGTGGCTGTGTTGCTGCTTATTTATGTAAGAGCTGCACCAATGGTGCTCATTGTCTCGTAGCTTACAATTCAAGCTTTTAGTGCTGCCATGTTAATTAAAGTCATCAGTTACACAGCTTACATGTCTGTACAGCAATATGTGCAGACTTGTTTAGTCATAGAGCACACCTGGCAGAGAGAGGACACCTTCTCATCAGCGTGGGACATGGGATGCTCTGTGAAGGTGGCGTAGGGCATGTCTGTGGACCAGGGATTCCAGCGGTTTAAGAAGGAAGCCCGGGGACGTTTGTCCCACTGGACACGAATCCCATAACCTTCTCTTCTGCAAAACAACACACCAGTTTAACAGCAGCGTCATTTCTAAAGAAGGTCATTCATTTATCTAATCATAATGCACAATTTCAGTAGTTTATGACTGAGAAACTATACCAGAGAGGCAATACATTCTGATTTACTTTWGTCTTTTAGATGACTGGTATACGAAAATGTTATAATGAAAAGCAGGAGCGAGTCTTGACCACTAAACTGTGTGAACCACTGTAGCAGATTTAGGGCTACATGTTAACAAAAAATAAAATAAAATAAAATAAAGCCACTGATGATGAAGAAGCTGATGCTAATATTCAGATATTCAGTTCTGCTTTGTACTGAAGTGGCAAAAAAAAAAACTATTAGTGATAATATTACAGGAAATATTACTTACAGTATGTATCTGAGCGTATATTGGCTATTTAATGTATAAAAATACCAAAAATCTAAGTGTGTTATGGCTGTACCAACAGCAAAGAAATAGGAAACATGTCTCATTTCACAAGTAAGCAGATTTTATCGTATTTAGCTGGATGGGATCYGAMCAAAACTGTAGMTAATGATGTAATAATTTAAAATTAGAATTAGCTAATAACATTAATATAAYCACTCTGCTGAATCATGCTACAATTTAACACAAATGATTACATATTTATAAAATATTTTGTCTCTGATTTATGCAATGTTTGCACATTGTAAAATAATACAACCATTTATGGTTTCTTTTTGACAAACATGACCTGTTCAAGGTCAGCTAATATCAGTTGAGATAAGTTTCATCCTAAAGTATCACCAGGTACACAGTGAACATTTTCTAAGTGTCAACTGGTTAATGTCTGTAATTATTTATGACAGATAATAAATAATAAATACTTTATTAGTTAAAGTAATAATTTTTCAATCAGCTAAAAGTCTAAGTTGTTGACTGACTTCAGGTCTGGTTCAGATCAATGTTACTTATATATTTTATACACGATTGTTGAATGAAATGAACCCAACAACTATATTAATTTATAATAAAAAAATACAAACAATTTGTGGCACAGATCAAGTTGGGCTTGCTGTTAAACAAATAGTTGCTAYGTCAGCTGTAAACTGTCACCCTGTATGGTCACCATTTTTACTTCATGTTGTCACATAAATGCTCACAGTGGACGGGACTCACTCTAGTGGCATTATATAAACTCTTTGCTGGTATATTACATTATGTCTACTGACAGGTAAAATGAGGAGAATGCTCATTGTGCAAAAATAATAGTACGTATTATTTTGACACTGAAATGCCTAAAAACACGTTGACCTACTTGTTAAGGGATTTTGGTGGAAACTCAAATTCACCCACAGAGATGGTGTCTACAGCGTTTAGGGAAATCCTGATAACTTGTTGGCACAGCAGGTTAATGAAGTCGTACTTGCACACCAGCAGTGACCTGTGTAATCACAACATGCAGAGACATATWGATGCTGTTTTTCCTCAGTTACTTGAGTTAAACACAACTAATTTACTCACCTGTCAGTTATAAGGACAAGTCTCTCTTTTTCATTGTTCCAGTGGTCAACTCTGTAGAAAACAAAGAAAAATCAGAAGCTTTTACCAGCTCATCTTGGTGCAGCTGCTAACGTACAGCCACATGATGATGATGATGATGATGATGATGATAGGAGACTCACTCTGCCAGCAGCCACACACTGTGCACCTCTCCGTCCTCTGATGGAAGAGCCACAGTCCGGATGTCAGTCACAGCCTGTTCAACGGTACCTGGCTGAGATCAGCATCACACACAGCTGTCAATCATCTGCATCACTTTACACAAGCCTGTTCATTGAAGACAATTTAAACGCATGTACTTCACCCTGAACACGAAGTAGTCCTTCACTTTAGCTTGCATCGTGGGGTTGTGCACGTGAAACGGCGTCAGGGTTTGTAGGGGCKGACAGCAGGCCACGGAGGCTGCGTGTCCGAGGCTTCGTCCGGCGGCCTCCGGCGGCGTGAAGGCAACCTCAACCCCCTCCTCGGTCTCCGCGGGGTGGAGAACCGCAGCCCCCGGACTGTCCGGCTCCACCGCGTCGTTCAGCTGAAGCATGGCGGAGAAAACGGGTTCCTGATAATTTACACAAACCGTTAGAATACAAAATATCTTTCCGACGACGTGGACTCTCCCATAGCGAAGCAATGTTTTGGTTGTTGTAGGGTAAGAAGAAAGCAGTTTCACTTCCGCAGTTCCCTCCTCCTCCTCCTCCTCTTTCTTCTTCTTCTTCTTTTGAATTTTATTCTTCTGCTTCTTCTCTTCTATTATGGCGGATTGCAAGCAACTTTGAGGTGCATACCGCCACCTACTGTACACGAGTGTGTGTGGCAACATNCCATAGACTATTGTGAGCATTAAAGTCACCACACCATAATTCTCTTTTCACTATCAAGACTTTTACAAGGATTATAGTAGTTTAAAATTTTAATATTTCCATATTTCCTTAAGTTAAATATTTCTATATTAACACATTCAAATTCTTTATTCGTTATGTTTTTCTTATAAGCTATTCCTGAGGCATTTCGGTGTTTTACACCAAATGCCTCCTTGCCTACCTGGCAACCCATATTAGGTGCACCTGCAGCTCATCAGCTGCAGGCTTTATAAGAGAGACCTGTGGATCAACTCGTCGCTGGATTGGGGAGACGGAACGCTGTTGACGTGGCAGACTTGACAAGGGCGGTAGGCTTGAATT